CTCTGCTTTAGCAGGAGGTGAGACATGGGTTGCTCCGAGGCCTGGGACTGAGATGACAGCTCCTGGGGGTCATTCCTGGGACCTGAGCCTTCCTTCTCCTTTGTTCTCCCTTGGCATTTGGAGACGCCTTTGTGCACACTCCAGCTTGCCTTATCTGACCTCTGCAGGGTTCTAAGGAAGGGATGAACCTTACTGGACTCCAGGGGGCCAAGGGGAACCCTGGATGTGAGCATGAGCACCTCAGACGAGCCTGAGCTACTGTTTGGTCCTGCCACCCACCCTGCCTGCGGAGCCTGGGTCCGGGAACAAGACTTCTGCAGCTCCTTGCTTTTGCGAAGGAAGCAATTTTTCACACAAGTAACTTTCGGACTAGTTGGTTCTAAGTAGACTGAAGATTCAGTCCTGAGCCCGTTTCCTGACTGTATAATTGGGGTAAAGAGGTCCTTGCTCTGGAAAGATGAGGCATTCCTATCTAGGGAGGACACACAGTGTGTGATTTCCTTTCTCCTCATGGGGCATGGCTTCAGCCTGCAGAAGCCCTCCCCAACCTAGGCTGCCGCCATGGGTGTCTGCACCGTGCCATGGGAAGGGTAAAAAGGAGCACAACAGTGGGTCTTGCCCTGGTGGCTCAGGCAAGCTGGTGCTGGAATTTTCCCTCCCCCTAACCTTGGGAAAACCCAGGAATGAATCAATAGAAGTCTCGAATTAATAGAATGAGCAATGCAAAAGATTGCTGGCCTGGGAAATTTAAAGTAAAAACCCACGAGCTACCAAGAGTAAAGGTAAAACTAAAAAATACAGTAATATAAAAGAAGAACAAATAAAATAAATACAAGCTGAGAAACAGTAAACATGAGATGAAAGATGTTGGTAAGCAAGGGTAGTGAGGAAGCCAAAGTAGAGACGGACAGTTCACCTTCAACTGAAGAGCCAAAGCAGCACTTCGAAAGCAGATGAAATGAGCAATAAACAAGGGTGTAAAAAAAATCCTGGTGTGGTGGCTCACGCCTGTAATCTCAGCACTTTGGGAGGCTGAGGCAGGAGGATCACTGGAGTCCAGGGGTTCAAGACAGCCTGGAAAACATGGTGAAACCCCATCTCTTAAAAAAAAAATGAAAAAAATTGGCTGGGCATGGTGACATGTGCCTGTGATCTCAGCTACTTAGGAGGCTGGGACAGGAGGATCGCTTGAGCCCAGGAGGTCTAGGCTACAGTGAGACATGATCACATCAGTGCACTCCAACTTGGGTGACAGAGCAAGCCCCTGTTTCTAAGAAAAAATAAGGAAAAACCCAGCGGGTTAAGAGAGGAAGGCAGCAGTGGGATTTTCTGAGCTCGGATCTTGGCAGAAGGTGGGTTCCCTAGAGCCTGTGGTAAGGGATGAGGCTGGCAGCAAGATTCCTTCTCTGATGCCTGCAGACCCTTTCCTGGGGGCTTGACCTCAAGACATGGGTTGGCCTCCACCCTGTGTACACAGGACAGCTGGGTTCCATGCCAAAGCCTGCAGAGAATTCCCCAGGTTGGGACTTGATCTTTCTTTGCCAGCAGGGACACTGAATGGTCATCTACATCCCTGGTGGGCTCAGTGCTAAGGAGGGAATGAGGAACATAGAGTTTTGGGGCCCTCCCTGGAGAGGCATGATTCAGGAGGGGTACTTCTGTAGGGCTTGGGCACTGGTGGTTTGGCATCAGGCAGGCAGCTCCTCAGGGCTGTGCTAGGGAGGCAGGTCACTTGAAGGCAATGGAGAAAGGAACGATCTGCATTTCTGGAATGACAAAGCTTTAAGTCACAATGATTGTGGCTTCCAAGTAGACCAATGAGGCGTCCCTATGCCTTGGCATTTCATCTACAGCTTCTGTGGCCAACTACTAGCTTCCAGTGGTGTTTTAGTTGAGATTCCTGATGAGTGCAGTTTTATCTTTTTGCACCCTCCTTCAATTTCCTTGTGTGTGAAATGGGACAACCATCTCCTCATTAAGATGTCAGGTGGTGAGCACAGTGCCTGCATGTGGTAAGCACTAAAGAAAAGTAATTAGAATCAGTAAAGCTGAAGAACTCTTTAGAAAAAGCAGTCACCTGTGCTGGCTGAGCTTGTGTAAAAGAAGGATTTATTGACTGAGTTTTAGTTTCTGTGAATACACTTTTGGTAGTGAGATGCAAACCAAGAGGACTGAGCCCTGGGCCTGCCAGCAACTCACTTGAAGCCTTCTCTGGACCTCAGTTTTTCCCTCTCTGAAGTGGGTGTGTGTCATCTGACCCAGAGATTGCTAATCTATCTTCTGCAGCTAGATTCTTGCAGTAGGGGTGAACTTGTTCATTAAGTAGAGTTGCTTCCCCTACTTTTGGAGAGGTAACATTTGCAGCCCCAGAGGCTATCAGGGATAAGAGTGTTGGGCCAGGGACAGCTGGGCCAGAAGCAATAAATTAGTAAGGGCTTGATGAGCCTGAGTAAGCCCCCAATAATTGCTGGAGTCCAGGGAATTCCCAACTCTGGCAACTCCAACTTTAGGTGGCAGAGGATTAAACACATTTTGCCTCAAGGTGGGTCTGTACAGGTCCTCAGTGGTCTCTGGCCTGACTCCCAGCTCTGTGAGGAATAGGAGCTGAGCAGATGGCCCACAGTCACCAGGTATAGGGTGTCCAGGGCATTCTAGCCTGGACAGGAAAACTGGCTTGTCTGGGTGGAGTGTCCTGGAGTGAGCAAATGGGAGTGAGTATCTGGGGACGGCAGACCACCACACACTCTGGAAGCTGGAGGGGAAGGAGGTACCCTGGACAGAAGGTGAGGTTGCTCCAGGTCAACAGCTTCCAGATGAGACCCACCTTGAGTCATGATCCTCAGATTCCAAGCCACAGGAACCTCAACACCCACCTTATCATCCAAACTACAGCATGATAGAAATCATCCCAAAACTATGTGTTGGTGGATTGTCTTCCTAATGCTTGGTAGGAGGTCTTAATACTTGTCCCACTGAAATCATGCTACCTATACCTAAGCAAAACATACATCAAGAAAAACCTCCACCTGGCTATATATCACATGCCCACTGTACTAACACACTGGCAAGCCCCCAACAACAGGAGACCCCAGGGGTATCCCTGACCCTATGGCTCTTGACTTCAGATCAAGATTACATCCACCATCCTTGAAAGGTGGAGATTGTCCACATAGGAACCAAACTGCTGTATAATAAAACATCATTTATTTCTCTTCTCCCTACCACTTTTCAGCCAGTGAATGGTAGAATCTTGCAGGAATGAGAATTGAAGGCATAGGGGCTTTGAAGATGCGGGGTGGGTCAGGTTTTACCACTCAAGGACCCCAAGAAAGGTTTTTGGAAGAAGTGTGTGTGTGTGTGTGTGTGTGTATATATATATGTATGTATGTAGGACCACACTCAGCTACTCCCACGGGCAGGTGTGGCCGCTCCTCTCTTCTTGTCTGCTGGCCCCTTTAACCTGGAAGTCACCTTGCTGCCCCATGGGATTCCTTGATACTTCTGCAATCCAGCTTCTCTGCTCCAGCAGGCTGTCTCTGCTCAGTTGAGCCCCCTCAGGGTTCCCTCACCGGGCTCTGGGCCTCCACTGGCTCCCTCTGCACAGCCTCCTTTCCAATCTTTCTTTCTAAAGTGAAATCTACCAATGATTACTCTTTGGCTGACCACATGGGAGACACACACACACACACACACACACACACACACACTACTTTTTGCCTTGGCTCACCACCGTTCAATGCCTGGAAGCCTCACCTTCTCCCTTGGGAACCTCCACTCAGTCTTTACAACTGTCACCTCTTCCAGGAAGCCATTCCTGCTCTACTTCCCAGGCTGGGTCAGGGCCCAGACATCTGAGCATACACAGCTCATTCATATCCCTCCCCACCCCAACATTTAAAAAATGACTTGGTTAGGTGTCTGCCTCTCCCACTGCCCTGGGAGTTCTAGGCAAGGGCTGTGGTCGGAGCCTCTCCGCCTCCCTCTAGCTGGAGCACCGCCTGGTGCGCAGCGGGAGTCCTGGGGCCCCGCGGAAGACAGAGCCCGAGGATGTTCCCAGACTTGCTGGAGAAGCAGCTCTCGAACGAGGCTCTGCCAGGTCCCAGACCCCAGGAAGCTCAGCTGTCCCCTTGAAATCTTGGGGGTGCCACATGGAGCCCAAGTCCCTCTCAGGCACGAGCCCACAACAGCTTAACGCTCTCTTTGGTGGTGGCCGGCCGGAGGCAGCCCCGCTCCGCTGTGGCCGGGAGGAGCAGGCTCTTCGCCCCGGCTCGCGCATGAAAGCTCCGTGAAGTGTCGGAGTCTGAGCCCGCCCGCCGCTTGGAAGGCTCCTCACGTCCAGGCGCCGCGGTCACGGCTGCGCCGGTTTCCGGCCATGAATTGGGCTTCAGAGTCCGAGCCTCCTGCCCGACTCCGGGCTGAGCGCGCCGCCCGCGGGGCGGGGGATGGGCGCCCGCCGAGGTCCGCTTGGCAAGCCAGGGTTCGAGCCCGCGGCCCGGGCTCTGCTTCGAGATGCTGGCAGCGGCCGGTCCCCTCTCCCTCCCCAGGAGTCCCGGGGCCTGGCCCAGCGCCCCGCCCCGGTCTCTTTTCTTGCTCCCAGGTCCCACTTCACGAGGAACGGTCTGTTCCGGCGGGGGTCACAACCCGAGAAGCGCGGCTGCTGAGGTCGCCAGGGCACTTCGGGAGCCCCTCGAGGGCAGTCAGCGGCCGGCCCTACTCCATTCTCCCGCCCCTGGGGAACCGGAGGAGGCCCGGACCACCATGGCTCGGCGCGCCGCAGCCCAGGCCGGTCCCTGCCGCTGTGCCGGCCTCCGAGAGTCCCCCGGGCCAGGAGCGTGGAGCACTCGGCGCCCCCTCCGAGCCGCGAGCAGGCGGGCGCCGCGCGACAAGGCTGAGGCTCCGCAGTCACGTGGTGGAGAGGAGGGCGGAGGGGAGGGAGGCGGGCAGGGAGGGGAGGGGGAGCGGAGCCTAGGGGGAGGGGGAGGGGAGGGGGCGTCCTCCGCAGTTAGCTCCTCGCCGGGGCTCAGACACACAGCCAGCCCAGAGCCGCCACGCCGGCCCGGCCGCCGCTGCCACCGCCTCAGCCTCCCCCAAAGCCGCTCTAGCCGCGGGAAGCGCTGCTGCCACCGCCGCGGGCCGCCCCCGCCGCGCCGGCCTGGGCTCGAGCTGCCAACACCGCCGCAGCCGCCACCGGAGCCGGAGCGGGAGCCCGACCGCGCTGGGCTGGGCTGGGCTGGGCTGGGGAGGGCGCCGGGCGCAGGGGCGGGCGCGCGGGGGAAGACGCACGGGCGGGCTCGGCTCTCCCGGGGAGCGGCCCGGGACCGCACCGGGACCAGCGCCTACCCGCTCCGCGCTGCCCTCGGCCTCGCCCCGGGCCCGGGCGGATGAGCCGCGCGCCCGGGGGACATGGAAGCGCTGACGCTGTGGCTTCTCCCCTGGATATGCCAGTGCGTGTCGGTGCGGGCCGACTCCATCATCCACATCGGTGAGCGCGGCGGGCGGCCGGGCCGAGGCTGGGCGGGGGCCCCAGCAGGGCAGGGGGTGCGTGGTGTCCAAACTTGGCGGTTCCCAGGGCCGAGGGGCTCGGCAGGCGGTGCTCCCCCGAAGGGCCGCGCCGCGCCGCCCCGCGGAGGAGCTGTGCACGGGCCGCGCCGCGCTCCCGCGGGCTGCTCGCTGCTCCCCGGGGCTCCGATCTGCGCGCGGGGCCCCGCGGCCTCTGCCGACACTTAGGGCCGAGGCTTCGGGAATACCGGGATGGACACACGTCGAGACCCGCGTCCTTAGCGGGGCCGTGGACGGGTCGGGAGGGCCCTACCACGCAGCTCAGAGCAGCGGGGGGCAGGGGGAGGCACGGCGGGGGGCTAGCTAAGTTGGCAGGGCAAGATCAAAGAGGCCGGACCGGAACCGTGTGTGGATGTGTGTGGGTGCGTGTTGTCAGCGTGTGTTGCTGTGTGTGCCTGGAACGGTGTCGGTGTTACTGCGAGAGGGCGTTGGGGTATGTGGGGCCATCTGAGCTTGTGTCGGTGTGTGCACGACTGTCTGTCAGCCTGTTAGAGTGGACACAGTGTCTGCCTGTTTCTCCGGTATGTGTCTGTGTAGTCCTCGGTGTATGTGTGGGTGTGTATCAGGTTGTGGCGACTGCAGCCCCATCCTGGACAGTCCCAGAGTTTTGCGTGGTCCAAGTCTTGGGGGCCCAGACTGTTTGGGTAGTGGGAGCCGAGGGAAGAAGCGTGGGCAGCGGGGCGGGGGGAGGGGGTTGGGGGTTGGGGAACGCTGAGCGGGAAGAGATGGATAGAGAGAGAGAACCGGGAGAGAAGATGAGAGTGCAGAGGAGGAGGGGGCGCGCCGAGGGGGCGTGGGCACACTGAGGGGGAGTGGGTGGGAGTTGGGAGCAACACGGGAGGAATCTAGGGAAGTTGGCCCGAGTTCGGGGGTTGACCGCGGTCTTTGGTGGAGCCCCTCCGCAGTCGTCTTTCCGGAAGTTGGGAAAGACCAGCGAGCGCAGGGAAACTGGGGGTTGGGAAGCGTCGAAGGCGAGGATGACGGGACAGGCAGGGAGGGGGTAGAGTGGGGTGGTAAGGACTAGACCTGGGCTCCGACAGCTACGATTTCCCCCCTCAGGGGCCCCTGACCAAACCTGCTTCCAGCCCTGGAGGGGTGCGAGTCTCGCGGTCAGCATTGCGGCTCCGAGTGTAGTGAGGAATCGGGGCCTCCCTCCTGCTCCCCAGCCCCCAGCTCCAGAGATCCACTGGGCCTAGCTCAGGGACCTTGCGGACCCTCCGGGCCTGGTGAGGTGGGGTGTGGGTGGCTGACTCCACAGCTGCCCAGGTTGCAGGACTAGGCTTCGGCGGATCTTGTCTGGAAGCGCAGGGTCAGGGAAAGCTGTGCTAGGCGCTCAAAACGCCAGTGGGAGGGTGCCCTGGAGGAGCTGTCCGCGGTTCTAGAAAGCCCTTCAAGAGCAGCTCCTTCTGGGACCCCCAGCCCTGCTAGATCTCAATGTGGTGGGGCCTAGGACACAGTCCCTTTCCCCCACTCCCTTTGACAGACGTACAGAAAATGGAAGCGGGGAGGGATGGAGAATAGGAGGCTGAGCTCAGGGCACCAGGCCGGGCAGCGTCACAGCCATCCAAGCTGCAGGTCATCCGAGGCCCCTGCCTAAAGAAGCCCCCTCTGTGCAGGAAAGCCAACTGTGGAACTGTTTCGCTCAGCTCCTCTCAGCAGGGGACGTGCATGGCAAAAAAGAGTTATCATTCTGTCCTGGGATTGAGGTGGGGGACACAGCCCTCTCGGGAAACTTCCTGGCTTCTGGGATGGGATTTATGGAACCATGTCAAGGCATTTGGGTGCTGCCTGGGGCCACCCCAACTTGGCTTAGTCCCATGTGTGGGGCATGGCTAGGACATGTGGTGCCTTGGCTGTGAGACAAATGTGTGACCTGGCGGCTGCATGTGGGATGTGCATGTGTAACGCATGTCAACTGTGTGCACGTGTGTGCTGAGGGCTGGTGGGGGGAGGGGAGAATATTCCTGTGCGAGTTGAGCTGGGAGAGCCTTAAACTACCCCACCAAGCTGAAATTCCAGCCCAGACTTCCCTCCACCTAGCAATCAACGTTCTGCGAGTGCCTTGATCCTCGGGCCAAGGGAAGTGCCGGAGAGGGTTTAATGTCCAGATCCAGTCTTGATCCCTCCTCTCCTCCAGGTGCCATCTTCGAGGAGAACGCAGCCAAGGACGACAGGGTGTTCCAGTTGGCGGTCTCCGACCTGAGCCTCAACGATGACATCCTGCAGAGCGAGAAGATCACCTACTCCATCAAGGTCATCGAGGCCAACAACCCGTTCCAGGCTGTGCAGGAAGGTGAGTGGCCGCTGTGTCCAGGGCCCACTGGGCCACGGCCTGCGAGGCGTCGCGTCGGTGGGCACCGGCGGGGTTGTGACGAGCTGCCTGGGGAGCCTCCTCTGCTCCTGGGCAGCCGCGGTGCCACGCGCAGTGGCGCGCCTTACCCGGCCCACCAAGGCAGCGGCGCCGGCATTGCTCTGCACCGAGAGCCTGCGAGTGCGGCGAGCTGGGCTTCTTACTGGTTGCGCGTCTTCTTTCCGGTTGTGTGGGCGCGGGTGTCCACCCAGCGCTGGCCGCGCAGGCTCTGGGACGTCTTTGTTTCTTGGTGTTTGGGGGTGGGCGTGTCTGCGTGCCTGGTACCTGTGTCGGACGCACCTCCCTTGATCTCCTGATCTCGGTGGGCCGGTGTCTTCCTCGCCTCAAGACGAGGATCGCCCAGCAGCTGGAGCCTGCCCTGTTTCCTTCTCCCGGGCATAACCTGGCAGGCGCCGCGTTTCACGCCCCGCGGCCCTTAGCGCCTCAGCACGGCGCTTCTCTGCCGCGCTCCTCCGCTCCTCCGCCAGGTTTGGAGGAGCCAGTTTCTCTCTCCTGCCTGCGCGGCGGGCGGAGGCGCTGCCGCCTGGGCCGGAGGTGGGCGCTGTTCGCCCAGGAAAGGATTGGAGCGGGGCCGGTTCGGCTGCGGGGAAATCCTAGCCTGCGCTCAGGTCGCCATGATCCACAGCCGCTGCCTCCAGTTGGGCCCCGCGGCAGGCGCCACAGGTACGAGCGAGGGCAGTCACGACAGCAAGCCCCTCTGCCTTCCCTCCTCTCTCCTGGTCCCTCCCCTTCAACCTGACTTTCAACTCCGGAACCCGGTTCCTTCTCCTAGCTTCCAGCTTCCCATTTAAGGCCCAAGGCTCTGCCTCTGTCACTCACCCAGCTTTGGTCCCTTCTCTGTCCCTCTGCCTTGCTCCCCACAACCACGGGGACTCTGAGGCCAGCGCCCCTCAGTGCTGAGGATAGAAGGGCACAGTCACTGGCACAGGATGCAGGAATTCCTTGCTGCAGGAACTGGTAGGGCAGTGTAGAGAGGGCAGTGCGTGTAGTGGAAGGTGGGCTGGCTAAGAGCTCTTGGGTGCTGCTTTATCCTCAAGCCCGCGGGACCCGGAGTCCTCCTGCAGCTATGGTACACATGGGCTGCTGGTCTTCCCGGCGCCTGCAAGGACAGGATGCCTCCTTAATGGCTCTAGTTTGGGTGGTGGTGGCGGGGGTCAGAGCTGGTGCTCGGGAGGTCGTTGTGCTGGGAGGAGGAATTCTGGGGGTCTCCTATTCTTGGGTGTAGCAGAGGAAGGAAAGGGGCCAGCTCTAGGGGAAGGGACCACCTGGTTCTGGGGCCTGAAGGTCCAAGGATTTCTTGAGGTGGTATTATAAACTGGGAGTCCCAAGTGTTTTCTTTTTTGTGGGGGGTGGTGGGGGGAGTGAGGCTAACATTGCCTATTATGGAAGCTGCTGCTTCCAGCTTTGACAGATGTCCATTGTCAGATGTGTGTTGAGGTACAGGGAAGAGGAATTCCTGCCCTTCTTTGGTGTCTGGTCATGTTCCACCAGTAGTCTCTGTCTTCTGGATTTCTTTTCTGTATGCCCTGATCACAGCTCCTTGCGGGTGCTTGGGCTGGGCTCCAGCCAGGGGAGGGCAGGGTCTTCTTGGTGGAAGGAATCCTAACTGGAGTGGGGACCTGGAGTGAGAAGCTACAATTTTCACAGTGCCTCCTGTTCCCTTGACACTGGCTCCACACACCCCATCTGTGTGGACATTCATGCTTTGTGCTTGGGAGCTGAAGCCACAGTTTGGAAGCACATATTTCCTAGACCCAGGAGCTCACAGTGTGGTGGGGACCCTGCCTGTGTTCCATGTCTGGTGACACACCTCTGTTGACTCCTCCTCTGCAGTGTTGAGTATCCCAAGCTCATTCACTTTGCCCCTGAATGATGTCCATCGGCTCCCATCAGCAGTTTCCCAGGGGCTAAACATGATGCACTTGCACAAGGTTGCCACCTCATGCAGGTAACACACAAGGGTGAACTGGGCAGCTGGCCCCTGTGGCACCTGGAGTCCAGGCTCTGAAAAGGTCATCTCCATTAAAAGGAGCAGCTCTCACACAGCTTTAGCAGATTTTTCCATTGGGAGTGACAATCTCAGTGTTGTAGATGTGCTGATTTATTTTATTTTATTTTATTTTTTTTTTGAGGCAGAGTCTTGCTCTGTCGCCAGGTGCCAGGCTGGAGTACAGTGGCGCGATCTCGGCTCACTGCAACCTCCGCCTCCCGGGTTCAACAATTCTCCTGCCTTAGCCACCCGGGCAGCTGGTATTTTTTTTAAAAGGAGCCCCAAATCTGGACCTTAATGTAAAATTTAATTTAAAGCTATAGTCAACTAATAAAACAATGTAAACAAAAGAGTACATGCCAAGTAAAACGCAGCTATGGGTGATTCAACCTGCAAGCCCCCCAAAGCAACTTTGTCCTGAGGACAAAGGTTCTGCCCAGAGACCTTTTCTGGGTCTCAGTTTCTCTGTTTGCATAGCGGGAAAAATGTCTTAGGCTCCAAGGATGGCAGGCTGACACAGTCTCTGCAGGGTGTGAGAGTGAGTGTTTCTGCACATCTGGGACTAGGGAGTTAGAGTCTGGTGGTTGACAGTTGTCTAGGGAGAGAGACCCTGGCCAGATATTGTTGCTGGGCTGCCTGCTGCCCAGGAAGTTTGTGCTGGTGAAAACTGGCGGGCACTTTCACTTTGTGAGTCTCCTGGACAGAAATCCACTGTTATCCTGTGACCTTGCATAGGGCTTGGATGCCTACAAGGGATGGGAGGAGCCATCCCTGGAGGGCCTCTGAGAGGGGCAGAGCAGTGCTCAGCAGGCTCCTTCTCCCTTGCCTGGGGCTCTGCTGCAGGTGCTCAGCTCTCTGGGTGTCCTTCCTTGGCTCTACTCTGTGGGGTGCTTTTCCATCACGGGGCTTGATCCCTGCTTGGTAAATACCTTATCTCTCACTACTGGTCCTGGACTCATTGCAGCAGGACATGGGTTGTTGATACAGGTTGAGTAGGAAGGAAAAAGATTTTTAGTGGGGGAGTGGCCAGGGATGGGGAGTAAAGGCAGATGGGGGCTCCATCTCCATCACTGACCGGTCACGCCCACAGTGACCTCTCAGTGGAGTGGCACTGCCCCTGTTTTGGTCTGCGAGGCAGTCCCATGCAGCGATAAGAGCTGGGTAGAGCCCAAAGAGTTTCAGTTCCCATCTACTTGTCTTCACTCGCCACGTGACCCTGGAGCCCTACTCTGAGCTTTTGTTTCCAGATCTGTTCAAAGGGAATAATCATAGGATTTGCCTCATGGGATTGTGAGGATTAAATGAGATGAGACATGTGTAAATCATCTGCATAAGGCCTGCGGTGGGTGTTCGGTAAACAGTAATTCACTTTCCATTCCTTGACCCAACTGTGAATCCATCTCAGCTTCTCTTGAGGCTGTTGATATTTTCAGCTACATCATTTTTTAAGCTAGTGAATTCCTTGAGAGAGGACCCAAACTGACCTTTTCATTTTTAGCTCTTACTTTTTTTCCTGATTGTAAAAGAAATGCATCGCTGCAATGAGCATGTATTAATATAAAAATGTAAAAAAGAAAAAGGGCAATGTATGCTTATTATATAAAATGTGGAAGGTACAGGAAAGCGTCAAGGGGCAGAAAAAAATCACTGTGAATTGCACTACTGATATTTCCTTCTAGTCTTCCCCCCCCCCCACTGTATTTAATAAATTTTGAGAGCTTCCATTCTGTTCAGTTTTATATCCTGGTTTTTTTTTTTTTTTTCCATTTAACATGATTGTCCTTTTTTGAAATCACTATGAACTATTTGTAAACATTACTTTTAGTAACTGCATACATTTCTCACTGTTCAAAACTTTTTTAAAAAAGGAAACCATTTATGCTGAGATATGCAGAATTAAATATTCCTGAAGAAAACAAGAAACTCGGCCTGGATATGTTGGTCCTAAGATTTATACCTACAATTTCTTCAGGCTGACTTTTAACAAGCTCCTTACAAGCACTGCCTTTTAGGATGTTTGGTCAATTTATGGAAAAGAATGGAACACACAATAAAATATCTATTTGATAAGGATTGAAAGTTAGCAAATAACACAGAAAGGACATTAAAATCTCTAAAATGTTACATCTTAGATTCAGCTGGCAAAGTCCATATTAACAAATAGTGTGAAAATTTGTCTTCTAGATACTAAAAGAGATCCTAATTTGTAAATGAAAAAAATTCAGATTGTTGTAAAGTGCCTGTTCAAGTAGGAGGTTTTATAAATGCATATAATTTATAGAGAATAACCGGCTAAGCACAAGTCTTGTCATTTCCCAGCAGTGAGTAAAAGACGTGAGTTATTGGATATGCTGTACGTATACCTGTCGCAGCATAGAAGGATAACATTTTAGGCAAGAGGCAGAAAAAGGAATGCATGCAAGTCAGGCAGTATTCCTTTTAGTTATCATCAGCACAAAAGGGTTCTAGGAAGACATAAAAATTACCAAGAATAGCTTGTGGCTCACAGAATGAAACAATGAAATAAAATAAAAATGAAACACAGAGAGCTTGTTGGTGCCCATCTGGAGGCCTTGCTTGCTTTATATCTGTTACCTCCTAGCTGGTCACCCTGCCCCTCACTAGCCATGCTGGCATCTAGACATTCTGCTAGAGGCTCTCCCTCCCTAGCTCTGATAGCTTCTGGCATCTTCCTTGGCTTCCATTCAGAATTATAGAGAATTATAGGTCCCATCAAGGCCACGCCCTTGCAGTCCTGCTGGCAGGCTCACCCAGACACCGTAGGGGGCTCTCTTAGTGTGATGCCTGTGTCTTCCTAAAGATGCCTGTAGGCCACTTATTCCCATCCTCTCTGCTGTGTTAGTTTTCTCGTGGTGCTGAAACAAATTTTACCCCAAATTTAGTTGGTTAGATAACACACATTTATTCTCTT